ACAAGTGCCTAAATAAAATTACGATTGCCGTCGATCTTCATGTTTTTATTGACCGCCTCAGTACTACTTCGTTTCGTTCGCAATGCTTTTGCAACCTAAAATGCCATACGCGACTACGAGAGGGCTTTACCTTGAAGTCTTCTCCAGGGATGCTACTCACTAGGTTTCTAGGCAACTCTATCCTCCCAAATACCTTACTTGACGACGACTTGCAGCTCGTGATCGCAGTTAATGAGCAAGCAACCGCTAAGCATATGCAGCCATATTGCAGCCCCGTCTATTTCACGATCACTTTGCAATGAGGTGTACAACAAAGGCATTCAATAAATGATTGTCCTCGCGAGTGTATTCTATCCTATATACCTGCGGAACCAGTAGTGAACGCGTGAGTAGCACTTATCAAAATCACAGCTTCAGGTATTTATTGTTCTGCTGAAATTGTGATCAGTAGAATAGAGGAAAGCTTAGCAGAGTGAGCGGATGAAACCCGATTTTCACTGTTTGCCCCTAGCTTCCATTCAGGGGCATTGTTTAGCCAACTTTCTCATAAAACAATGTGAGTAAAACAGGTTTAACCAAAGGCAACACAAGCACAAGTTTCTGGTTACGTCGCTGATACTGATCAACTTCCCACGGTAATGATATAATTTACTACAAGGCAAGTTTTACGTACTACGTTTGTTACTTGTGGCCGGCCGCACAAAGTACCTGCGAGCGAGTGAATAAGTAAATCCATAATTTGTGACGAAGCAGCACGTCATTCAACAATTCTATCTATTAATCGGTTACTAAAATATAATGACTAGTTTGTGTGGATGTAAATGATTCGTCCTAACTCTTTGTAAGATTCCCTTTCCAACTGCTGTCGTTGGATCATTTGCAGTTATAAGTGGATCAGGAAAGTTGAGCTCCAGTTTACATTCTGGGATAGTTGCGTTGGAAAGCAACAAATCTTCCGAAGTGAGTACTACACTTTTTCTCAATGCCAGCGATAACCTAGGATAATCTTCAGCCAATTTTCTTGTTACAAGATACCTGTAACGATCTGCCACTTGGCTATGAGGATTTTTCGAGTCGCCTGAAATCATGTTTACGTGTGACCGTGCATCCTCTCTAGGGATGACTGGCGCGACAGAGATGAACCATGTCTCCTCCAATTTCAGCTCTCATCAGCGCGCATCAACTCGAAAATGCTGTGTGAAACTTCATGTGTGCTCTACAACAGGTAGGCGTTCATCACTTTTGTGAAGTCTGACACAATTAGCTGTGATTTATTATTCACCATTGGTACATATTTTGCCACTTGTGGTTGGATAATTAGGTGCGATACCACACATCTGTCGCAACACCGGGAGTGGCTGCAACTACACGCGAACTTTATTGAAGCACATGAATAAACATACGGAAACTATTCAGGTCGGTTAGGAAGCTGATTTATCAAGCTTCCTGGGCGAGGTAGGGATGCTGAATTGTGGCTCAAATGGACCGACTTAAACCCAGATGAAGAGGAATAAAGTAAACATCGATCTGGACATCATTTTCTTTTGGCACATTGCCCCAGTGGATGTAAAACGTGGTACTGCTACGTTTCGAGGCACAAGCGGAAAAATTTGCAGTTCGAATTAAACTTTCCTCTTCTTAATATGTTAAAATGGTTTCTGAATGAAAGGTATGGTATTCACCAAACGCTAACTACTTAATTGGTATTCAGTAGTTGCATCGAACCCCGGTATGTCTCATTCTCACAATTATGACACAAATGCCATGGATACATTTATGTTTATTCGTTGTCGAATGAGAGACCACGATCCTTTCTTTCTGAATAATAAGAAGGGCGTTTTAGCGGTAAGTTTGGTAACCTCACCTAACCATGCAAACCTTAATAACACTGTATCCACAACTGTATTAATTGATATGAACACGGTACAGTTGACGATGAGATCATGCACAATGTTTCTCATCCTACAGTCTATACACAGTCGAAACATATAGTGGAACCGTTACTGTGAACTCAAACACATGGAATAAATCTGTACTCCTAATCTCACAGTACCTAAAGGATTCGGCTGATTTGCGCATCACTCACTCCAATAGGACTCCTGTATTACGCGGTTCGAAACTCACCCCATTTAACGACTGTTGGGATCGGCGGCCTAGAACGCAACCGAAATAAAGAAGTCACCACAGCTTAACAGGTTAGAAACAATGCAGGTGCGGATTGGCCCCATCTTGATGATCCTTAACTGCATATTCTACGGAAAACGGATAGCAATTACGGGTGTTTACTTCACATTATAAACAACGGGAACGCGGAAATCACCATGCTGCCAGTGAGGATAACTGACAGAGCTTGATAGTGTCAAGGCCGGTTTACCGGTACATAATTATGAAATGAAATCTACACTGTGCAATGACTCGCTGAGTTATGAACATAGAACAGAGCTTGCAATGCGTTCATCAGTATTCATAGCAGAACAAGTGAAACGACTTAAGTGGTCATTTTGAGGCGCGCGTTGTGCCAATGACTGGGACGCGAAGGACTTTGTCCCGAAACTGCAGATGATGTCCCAGCATCCTTGGTTCAGGTTGTAGTGCTACTATTTCTACCTGATGGGTGCAATCGGGTGCGGAATTAGTTGCGGAGTGCAGAGTTTTTATAGGGCAACACCTAGCATTTAACATTCTAAACCACCTTCTTGATTTGTGGACTAGGATTTCGAGACATTCCAATGTTGTTCCACATTGTTGTCTCTAGTGCCGCTTCAACTCTATCTTTGCCTTGCATGGGGTCGTGTCTTCGAGATGTGACATACCGCCATCTCCCTAGACAGGCCGCATGCCTTCATACTCGTCTGGGCTTTTACAATTTAAAGTGATTCTGCTAACATAACATCATTGTCGATAATAGGTATACATTCATTCATTTGTCGATCTGCCTTCTCATGGATTGTCTGGACGCTGCCGGCAAATCTACCACTGTATATAAGCTGAAGATTTTTTGAAATCTTTACCACTGCTCCAACTACTGGGTTTAATGTCGAAACTATGGAATATATGAACAGTAGTTTCACCGTCTGGGACGCCTTGGGACAGGAAAAGATCTGACCACTAAGGAGACCCTAATAGCAGAACCTACAAGGTTTGATCTTTGTTGTCGACGGTAAGGATCAGGAAAGGATCACCGAGGCACCAGATGAGTTATCCAGAATACCTAATTAACACGAGTTAATGGAAGTTGCATTGTTAATATTTATGAATAAATCTAAACAGATGCATAAACGGTATATTCATCGATGGTACGAGGCAGAGCCAAAAAGCGTGGTCCGATCAAATCATACAATGACATCGCGTAAAACAGTCAATTGTTTCTCTTTTATACAATGGATCCCGGACGGAATTTTTAATTTGATAGACAAGGTAAAGGCATTGGGAAGATAAGGAAACTGAGAACAATAAGAAATGCAGAATTAAACAGAACTTCAGGTGTAGTAATACGGCCATCCATGGAACCGTCCTCAGGGGACCTGCTTCAAAGCAGTGTATTCCCACGATGGGTTCCACTCGCAGTTCCATGTTCCATCTGTCTGTGGGAAGGTGTGGAATAATAGCAAGTAGGCAACCACCTGTCGAACATAGTTTATGGCTGCTTTTATGCATACGTTATGGTCCATCTGGTCACCAAGCCCGTTCCATTGTAAAGGTGACACTTTTTCATGTCAGAAGGATGACACTAAAATTTAGTTCATAATCAATCGCCCAAGTTAGTGAGCGGCAATATGCTTTGCATGGTTTTAATCAGTAACTTGGAAGCCTCAATAGTCAGCTCTATAGATCTGCCTAATCGTGGCCAAAAATGAACTAAAGAAGACTGTGGTGAATGAGGAAAGGAGAAACGCGAATTAAAATCATTTGCGAATATGCCAATCACAGTTTGCTCGAAGACCTTGATAAAAAGCAACGACGGTACCGAAATTGTAAGAGAAAAAGCTTGCACTGCCGGCAGTGTTTGTAATGAATAAAGTGCAATTAACATAATCCAAATGCAGTTTATAACATCTCCGCAATTATAGGTGAATTATTGCCAATTACGATTTGAAGCCTTCAGCATCAGAGGAGTTAGTTAACTGGTTCTGGACTACCGATCGCAAAGAATAGATCCATCATTGATTACTAGGCGGTGACAAGCAAAAGAAATGAGGAGTCAATTACAAAAAAGCAGCTGACTTGATGGTTTCCACATATTGTTGCCTCTGCAAACGCACCTAACTTCGACCCAACCACTCAGAGATAAAAACACAAAGTCGATAACTTAAAATAGCAAGATAGAACAACATTTTAACAGATTAATCTAAATTGAAAAAATTTCGTATCATTTCATCAGCTGTTTACAATCTGTGGTTATTATGGCACGCACAATGGAATGTCGTTATGTGAATTCTTCTAAAGAATGAGTCCCGTTACTGAGTGCAATATTAAGAAACAATGCTGGTCTGAATGGCTTACCAAGTTGAATGATTTGTTTACAAGGGGCACCTAGTCAGGTGAGAAATCTAAAATCCGCATTTGCAACCTAAGATAAAAGCTTGGAAGCTTCAAACTATCACTGGCACCGGCAGTCTTAAGGTTTCTTTACTTCGCCACAGTAACACGGCCTATAGTAACTGCGTGCCGTCTTCTCAATGTCCTAATGAATCTGATTCAGCATCCTGAGAAGCATCAATTTGTGACAACTTACTGAGCATGGAATACTTGATGACCTCCGTCTCGCATGCAATGGCTGGTGTGCTTCCTGGGTTTCACTAATAGATCACCTCAAGCGGTTGTCGCTTTTCGGATGAAGGAACTAGTTTATTCCTTCCTACTGAACGAAATATTTTGTTTCATTATGTCATCCCGATTAATCTGTTTCTCCCACGTATTTTTCTCTAGCTGTCAACAGTGAGAAATCGGCAGGCCCCTTATTTTACCATCTCGCTCTTTCTTGCAGGATTTCGCCAAACAGGAAGGCCGAAGGCCGCGTATTTTGCTGGCTAAATTGGGCCAAGACGGCCACGATCGCGGTGCAAAGGTAGTGGCCTCCGGGTTTTCTGATCTCGGGTTCGACGTGGATGTCGGTCCACTTTTCTCAGTGAGTGGATGCATTAAAGTCCGATTTCATTTCAGCCTATTGATCTTAGCATTGCACTGGAGATTGGTATTTTCTGGGTGGTCAATGCCTTGGATTAAAAACAGTAACGTAACGTGGACAGAACCTTGAGGCACACCACTGGAGACGTACAGGCAGTCGGAGCGCATCGCGCTAATTCTTACTGTGATAGTTCTCCCGTTTAGGTAACGTTAAAACTAGGTGAGCAGAATACCGGTGAACTTGCATTTAGTAAGACTTTAGAGAAGACTTAATGATTGACTGACTAATGCTTTGGAAAACTTTTAGTTACCCACAATGAGAGGAAATCGTTCGCCAGTATCCCTGGTCCACGAGTTACAAGCAAAAAGCAGATTAGTGGGTCAAGATTGTCTGCATCTGAAACTATGTTAGAGATTGGAATTGATTTGCAGAATTACAAAATAATTCTTTAACTCGACTGCGAGTATTGACTCCACATATTTCGATTAAATAGGGAGAACAGTAATCGATCGATAGTTCGTAGGAGTGAACAGGACGGTAGAGAGTATTGGAGAGGTGTGACGCGGAATTTAATCCATTTGAATTACTGGGCATAACAGCGAGAAGAGGGACGAAGGCGATGCACTCAGGTGCGTCGGAAAGGTAGACAAACCGAAGACAAACCAAATTTGACCGATGTTGTATACTGCAGTTGAGGCGTCCCGAGTGTTAACCAAATATCCGATGGTCGGTTGTCCTGTACTTTGGTCTATAAAAATGCTAAATGTTCGGTGGAAGTTCAGACAAACAATTGTTCATGGAAAGAATGACACGACATTCTAAAGTAAATGAATCAGGATTCAGCTGCTTTGGTTAGACTGAAGGTAAAGGAATGCTGCAGTCAGCACCCACCCCAGAACCAAGCGGAAGGCTACGCGCACACACATGTATAACACCATGTTCCCACAATTCAGTAGTGCCTCGAACCGGTATCATCAACGAGCACGCAAAGCGTTCTCCCGTGTGGCTTAACGCTGCTCTATATACCCAAGTCTGTATACAGACCTTGTGCCGTGAGAATCATGGCAAAATGGTGACAATAAATGTCCGAAAGAAACGAAGAAACAAGAGTTCTTTTTGGGTTTCACTCACGTTGTTTTGAAATGTGTTTATATACTAGAGATTAATCAACAGGCAAAACGGCACAACAATACTTGCGTCACTGATGCCCCTTACGTGCCATGATCTTCAACGTTTGCAACCACAAGAATGCTGAGTCACGTGGTCTCCAAACTTGGAGGCGCACTGATCCAAGTGTTGCTGAGCTTGAGGTTGCTTTCTTCATGCTTCTTTTACAAGTCATTGGTTGTCCACCGCGACACTTGTTCCAATCGCTCTCGAGAAGCGCAAATATCACTAGCCGGATAAGGGGATGAGCTGACATCCGCAGTACGTGGCTGAGACAACGTATGATGCGTCGGAGAAAAAACGTTTTGAACGCTGGGACTGTTCGCCCCAAGCCCTCGTTCACGAGTCTCCGTATTGCTTAGTTGATGTTGCCAACACATACGAACAAGCCCTGTGATAGAACACTGACTATTCTTCCACGTTATGTGACGAGTTTCTTGTTGAAGGCACGTCCATAACTGCACTGATCTCATTGTTCTGACCACACCGCACCACGCGACGCTTCAGCTGAGATTGCAGTAACAACGATCACGCATATATTCACACACGTGATTTGAAAGGTAGACCTAAATTCTTGCGGAGTACTTGACGCCCAAATTTAAGTTCACTGCGTTGTTTGGTAGTAATCACCACTACCGATCTTTCACTGACAATAACATGATACTTTTAAGATTGTGCTTTTTCACATTCTGCTATCGGTAGACTCCGGCTGAAGCAGCCCAACAAGCAGTGGACGCTGACGTACACGCCGTGGGAGTGAGCAGTTTGGCAGCCGGTCACAAAACTCTTGTTCCTGAGCTTGTAAAAGAACTGGCTAAATTGGATGGCAAGTAAGTTTGTCAGTGATTTTAGTCAACCTATCGTAAAAATAGTCATACAACTGTCATTATCTGGGCTCAAACCAGTGGTCAGTATAGTTGTTTGAGTATGCACTTCGTACAAGTCCCTATATGAATACGAGTATCATGTCTCTGAAACCGGTTGAGCATTAAATATTCTCCTTTGGAGCGTAGAGGATTCGGAGTTGCGGGCGCAAGAGTGTTTACTGATTGCAGTGAAGATGCACTAAGTTGAGTAACTTGTTCAGTAAAATCCACCTTGCTCTATTTGCTTTACTCATTTTGTTAAAACTTTTCTTTACCCCTTACAGAGACATTGTGGTCATAGTAGGTGGTGTGGTTCCACCTCAAGACTATGATTTCCTATATGAACACGGTGCCTCGTGTATTTTTGGACCAGGGACAAGAATTACAGATTCAGCATCTCAAGTGCTGGATGCCATAATCAAACGGCAACGAACTCTGAAAGCTGAATCGGCGAATTAGTCACCTAATTACTATTGTCAACACATCATCTTTCGCCATGTGCCTTCCGAACTGCTGAAACTCAATGTTCGCTGTACTCAAAAAGTTTAGTTGCTATGCGACCTAATTTTCTAGCATCACGATCTTTCGTTTTGTTCATCCATTACCCTCCCAACTCCCAACATCTGCATTTTGGAAATAGTTAACCACATAAACCCATACATTACACACTTCCTCTTCATCACATCTATCACCGCCATTTAACCGTTTCCCCTAGGGTAATAATTAGTTGAGGAACACGGCACTTGCATTCCTTGACTTAGCGTCCTACAGGCGATTAAAGTTATATAGAGCTAAGTGACGTGAAAATGTCAAGCAGCTTGGGATGCATGTAAGTTGTTTACCAATGGGAATACCAATTGTGTCCCAACCTTGAAATTCTGCGCTATCGGTTGTTGTGTGAAAATGATTTCGTTAATCGCCACCCGGGTAACTAATATACCCCAAATTTACAAAGTAAAACAACATTCTGAAGGATAATCTGAATTCATCTGTTTCACATGTTATCATCAGCAGTTTGCATACAATTAGCGATGCCTACGTTGCATACAGCAAAATCTGAAGTTACTACGACGTTCGTGCATGAAGAACGTCCAGTTTAGGTTCAGCGGCACCCTGTATGAACAGATGGATTGTGTAGCCATGAGCGGTCCATTTGGTCCTGTCTCGGCTGATATCTTCATGGGCCACATGTAAAACACTAAGCCACGTCCTCACAAACAAAACGTGCTAACATATACTGCTACTTAGATGACACTATCGTCGTTGTAGACACTGGCGAGCAAGCTGAACACCTAATTTGTGCTCTAAACAAGGGCCATCGTGCGATCCAACTCACAGCTGAAAACTAATCTTCTGGTACCTTACATTTTTGGATGTAAACCTAGGTAGAATCACAAATAGTGCACTCATTCTATCTGCGACCGTTAAGCTACGTAGGTACGGCAGTACCTAAATTTTAACGGTCTCCGTTCTGTGAATTACAAACGAGATCCTATCACTTTTGCGAGGGCTTGCCAAATCTGCTCTGAGGAAACGATCGAGTGTGAGCTGCAACACGTATGCTCGAGAGTACATAAATTAGATATCGGGAGAAGTGGCTAGCACGGCACTCGAACGCGAACAGGAAAATCACGAACCAACGGGTGACCGACGTACTAGGAAAAAAGTGTTCACAACGCTACCACTCGAAAATGAAAAAAGGAAAGAAAATTCCGTTATCATGTCCGAAAATCCATAAAAGTGTACTATTACGTTTCTGAGTATGTGGTTTTGCACCAAGTTAAGAAGTTGTTGTTGAAATCCAACCCGGACTCTTGAGTTACCGCCTCATGCGTTTACCTGATTCACTGTACCTGCGATAACGAGTACATCGGCCGAACTATGAGACAGTCCAAAAGGATTTTAGGGCATATTCCGCGGAATATATTCACGCCTGGTCCGAAGCTTCTTGCCATTCCGATGTCCCGACACGTACTTGACTGTCCCATGCGTAAAAACCCTTGTGCATCATTTAGGATAGTAAACCAGCAGAGCGCCGCCAAACTGCTTCAGTTCGATGTGCCATCGACAGTTTGGCGGCTGAAAGTCAGTTGGTGCAAACAGACCATCCCCAGACCCGTCATGCATTGGTTAGGCTGGTGTACACATTCCTCCAAGCTGAAAGTCGGCCAGTGTCAGACATACTTTAACCGTTTTAGATTCACAAATGAGGTCCCACCTTGAATGTTTTATATGCAACCTAACCATTCCGCTAGTTAGGTGTAATCAGTTGACGAGAATACGCAAAATAAATGAATTCGAATTCTCCTGTCGAAATGTATTTCTTTTTGTCATTTTGTAATTTGTGTAGGGAAAGTCTTGTATTAAACCAACAACTTGCCTTCTGAATTTGCTACATATCGTAAAGTATCTATATCCATTCCACTGATGCCAATTTCAGACGACCAGCGTTCTTGCGAGACACCGATAATTACTGATATGTTTAAGCCTCGTAGCTCCAGGAAGTGCAGGATGTCGGTGCTTTCGGAGCTCCAGATCCAATGCCTTTATACTGTTGACATTTTATGAGTAGTTCAGTTTAGTTAATAGTTTTCAGGAAAGCTGCAGTCGCTATTCCTACTGACATTTGTCGAGGCACTTAATCCACATAGCTAAACGGAAGATTTTCGTGCATATTCATGTTTATATCTGTAAGTTTATAGTTGGTAGGTGTGAATTCGTAAGGTTTTTTAAAAAAATATAATGGATGTTACTGCGTCAAACATAATGAGATCTCGTAATTTGTGCAGGCAAAACTGTACTAATGGGATTGATGCTATCAATGTCGCCACTCTCTTATCACATATTTATGACTTGATTATTCGCATCAGTGTATAAATGTGACTTAAGAGCCACCATTTGATCAGTACAGACTATTCCGCACACTAACCAGGAAAGTTACAGCCTAGATCGTGCCCTAATTCGGTGCCTTGGGTAGCTTTGTAATACACTATTTAAAAACAAACTGGTCACTATCAAACCTTTGTTCCCACGCAGCACAGACAGTCTATCGGATCCTTCGATGTATATTAAGCAATAGCCTCTGATACCAACAGTGAAGTTGGAAACTTCAATGACTAAAAGTGACTGCTTTTTACTGCAGTTTGCGTCATCAAATTCGTTAGCCGTTCCTCAACAACCTCATAGATATTCAAAAGAAATG